TGGCCACCAAGTCCACGTGGACTACCAGAGTTAGACTGGGGTCCAGGAGCCCCCCCAGGCTGTGGACCCTGTCCCTACGTGGGGCTGCCTTTGAGGCTCATGTGGAAACTTCAGATGGTCCAGAATGCAGCAGCCAGGCTTATTAGTGGGGTGAGAAAATTTCAGCATATCTCCCCCACTCTGGTTGCACTGCACTGGTTACCTATTCGTTTCCGCATTGACTTCAAAGTGCTAACGATCACATATAAAGCCCTTAACGGTTTGGGACCTTAATATTTGGCCTATCGCCTCCTCCGGCCCAGATCTACCCGAATCACCCGATATAGCCAGCGGGGTCGGCTGAGGGGTTTGATGCCAAGGGAGGCCCGGAAGGAGAAAACAAGAAACCGGGCCTTCTCGGCGGGCGCCCCTCGGCTGTGGAACACACTCCCCACTGAAATTTGGCTGGCACCCTCGCTGGGTGCTTTTAAAAGCCAACTAAAAACCTGGTTATTCAAACAGGCCTTCCCCCCAGTCAACTAAGTTATTTTTTCTTTTCTTTTCTTCTGTTATTTGAGTTTTAGCCATCTTGAATAATATTGCTTATAATTATTGTATTATATATGTTATTTATATGTTCTTTTAATTTGTTTTAGCCTATGTAAGCCGCCCCGAGTAGACGTTGTCTAGAGGGGCGGGGTAAAAATCAAATAAATAAATAAATAAAATAAAGAAGGGGACGAGAGAGGTCGAGATGGATGGACAGGGTCATTGAAGCAACCAACGTGAATTTGACCCAACTCTGGGAGGCCGTGGAAGGCAGGAGGGCCTGGCGTGCTCTGGTCCATGGGGTCACGAAGAGTCGGACACGACTTAATGACTAAACAACAACATCTGTAAAGGAACAAAATGAATCAAGTTCCATGATAAAGGGCCATCTGAATGAGCCAGCTGACCTAAACAACGACTAATCCCTCCTTCAGGAAAAAGCTCAAAATCTAGTTCTAGAATGGAGTCTATCTTGATGAGTTTCATAGAATTATAGAAGAATTGAGTTGGAAGGAGCCCTTAAGGCCATCAAGTCCAACCCCTGACTCAGGGCAGGAATCCAAATCAAAGCTGATTAGACAGGAGATGGTCTCGTTTTCTTTTGAATGCCTCCAGCCTTGGAGTGCTCACCACCTCCCAAAGTCATTCCTTCCATTGTCGTACTGCTGTAACAGTTAGGAAGTTTTTTTCTGGATATTCAGCCTAAATCTGACTTCCTGTTGCTTGAGCCCATGATGGCATGCCCTGCACTCTGGGCTGATCGTGAACAGCTCCTGCCCATTCTCTGTAGGACAGCCATTCGAGTCAGTTAAGAATGCTCTCCGATCTCCCCTCAGTCTTCTTTTCTCAAAGCAAGACAGGTCCATTTCCTTCACTTCTCCCGCATAAGGCTTGGCTTCCTGATCATCCTAGTTACTCTCCTCTGAACTTGCTCCATTTTGTCGGTATCCTTCAAGAACCTGCGTTCATCAGATACCAGCAGGGTGTGTTGCCATTGGCTCTCTCCAAGATGGTGATGTCTCTCCCCGATGGCAGAGGGGAGAGGTCCCTCCTGCTGCGGAGGGGTCAGGCCCAGCCATTCTGCCCCCTCTTTAATCCTTGCATCCCATTTGTGTTCTTCTCCCCACTCCAGATCCACGCCTACAACCTGGAAACTAACACATGGGAGGAAATCACGACAAAGCCTTACAAGAAAAAAGGTAAGACATTCTGAAGAGAACATCGCTTGGCGGGCATGAAAGGGAGAGACTTTTTAATGGTGAAAAAAGTGTCTTATGTGTCCGACACAAACTCTAAAGAAACATCAAGAAGCCATATTTTGGTTCTTTCTCCCATGTCTCAGGACCTTAACCTGAAACAGATATGAAACCATCACATCAATCCACGTAAATTCATCTTTGTGAAATAGCTGGGTTTGGATATATTTATATGTGCCCGTGTTCTGTTATGAACCTGAGTTTTGTTAGAGAATTTTGAGTCAGAGTTTTCTTAGAAAGTTAGCTTGTCAGAAAGGGGGCTTTTAAAAGTATGTTGTTCACTCAAGTTGCAGAACTTCTGCTTTTATCTCTGGAATCTATGATGTGCCACTCTGAGAGACCTAGTTCTTGAGCGCTTTGGTAAGCCACGCGGTCGTAAGGATTTGGCAACTTTTCCTTCAATGAGATCTCCAAATGCCAGGTGGCTTTTCAAGCCGCTTAGTGGAAATGAGTTTCTCCTTTATATACTGTATTTTTCCATGTACAAAACTACACTTTTTCCTAAAATAATGAGAGGAAAAATTGAGGGTCGTTTTATATATGGTAATATATAATTTTGCAAAGTGCAGGGGGAAAGCAGGAATCAGACTGCTTGGATCCCTGCCTTGCCCCTCCACTTTCTTGCAAAGAAAGAAATTTTGGGTTAGAAAAGTAGGGGGGCATCTTATACATGGGGTGTCTTATAAATAGAAAAAATACGGTATATCTCGAGAAGGTTGCTGAAGCAGTGCATTGGGAAGGCCTGGCACCTTCGATATTGGTTAGCATATTGCTCCCATTTGTACCTTAAATGGTTTTCCAAAGGGTTCCCAACATATTCTTTTTCTTCTTGTAAGCCTGCTTCAGAGAAGTGAAAGATTCCTTCTTCCAATTCACTCTTTACGTACTTCTTTGAGAGAGAAAAGGCAAGTGATGCTTAAGAAGCTTGGGAGGGCTTCTGACGAGGGACTGGCCAGGCGACCTCCTTTTCTCTCCAGTTCTGCTGCCCCAATAAGGAGGAGGCCTGCCTTAATGAGCGTTGGCTGTTTTTCCTCCCTTTTCCTTGCTCACCATCAAAATCTTGTTCCACAGAATTCCCAGCCGCCAGGAGATGTCACAGTTGTGTCCAGATAAAAAACGGTAAGAAGAGCTGGCTTGAGGTTTGCTAAGCAGCTGCGTTTCCTGTTTCTGGCTTAGGGAGCCTCGGAATGGGCTGAATGGACCCAACCCGCTGTGATGCCTTAGGATGTTCACAAGCACTAACTTGGGCAGGGAGAGGGACAAAATCAGGACCTCTGCCGTGAGGGAATTAAAAGGTTGCCTCAGAACTTGGGAGGTTTAGCCTCTGGATACAGCTAGCTACTAGGGATGATGGCTGGGGGGGGGCGGTTCTGGGAGTTGTAGCACAGAAAAGTAACTTTTCCAAGTCCCAGTTTGGTTTGATCTGGGAAACAACTGAGTGTAGGATCTAGGAACAGCCGGGCTGTGAGGTGCCACAAGTTTTGGGATTCATGGCTCTGCATGCAAGGAGAAAAGACAACGTGGGTTCCTTTCTTCCTCTACACCAGTGGTTCTTAACCTTTTGGCTCTGCATGCAAGGAGAAAAGACAATGTGGATTCCTTTCTTCCTCTACACCTCTCGGATAGGGTTCATCATCATTCAGTGCCTCTTTCCCCCAGGGGCCTCGGGGCAGGGATCACAGCTCTAATCGTTCTGGGCTTTCAGGGCCACTGCGTGGGAGGCCTGTCTGGTCCAGAGGAGGGATGCTTGGATAGGGTCCATCATCTTTATTCACTGCCTCTTTCCTCCAGGGGCCTCGGGGCAGGGATTACAGCTCTAATCGTTCTGGGCTTTCAGGGCCACTGTGTGGGAGGCCTGTCTGGTCCAGAGGAGGGATGCTTTGTTTCTGAGTGGGAATTCGAATCCGGGCCTCGCTTGCCCAGTTCTGAGCACCGCAGGCCACCTGAAGGAGGAGTTTCCTTGTTAGAAGTGGACGTTCCCCAGCAACTTTGGTTGCTTCAGAATAAGAAAAATTGGACTACTCGGGGAAATGCCCATGAGAGAAATACAATAGAAAAGTGGGATTTCTATTCAGCCCACTTTTTAAAAAAAATCGTCTCGAGAACGATGGCAGGGGAGACCCTTCTGTTCTGGGCCGTTGCGCGCAGGAGTCTCTTTATCGGCCAGAAAAGTCAATTGAAAGCTTTCCTGTTCTCTGCCCATCCAGATGTCTTTGTTTGCGGAGGATACAACGGAGAAGTGATTCTGGGAGACGTCTGGAAACTGAACCTCCAGACATTCCAGTGGGTGAAGCTCCCGGCTGTCATGCCTGAGCCCGTGTACTTCCACTGCGCCGCCGTGACTCCGGTCAGTGGCCCTATGCTCCCCATTCCTCCCCTTCTACAAGTTCTCTCTAATGTCCCGCAAAAATGGCCAGGGTGGCCCTTTCTGGCCGCCCCTCCCTCTCCTGAGTCCCCCCCCCCGAAGGAAGAGGGCCATGCGCTGCTTCTTTTAACACCAGAGTGTGAAACCCAAAGCTTGCTCATTGCCTGAAGGGGAGACCGCCATGAAGCGGCCGCATCTCCAGAGTGGGGTGTGTGTGTGTGCATTGGAGGGGGTGCGGTGGTTTGTGCCGAAGAAGAGTCAGTAACTGAGGCACACACCGAGCCGGCTCTGCCCTACCAAGCTTGCTGCCCAGGCTGAGCAGGAGGGATCTGAAAAGCCCATTCCACCGCCCAAGAAGCAGCAGGCCCTTCAGTCCTTGCCTGCTTCAAAAGCATTTCCTCCCAAGGTGGCTGCCTTGTCGGTCCTTTCCCGCCTCCTCTTGGTTGGAACCCAGATGCCAGCTAGAAGTCAAGAGACATGGGCACTTTGTTTTCGTATCCCTGAGGACAAGAATACGAGGCATGCCACCACAGGTGCCACAGAGGGCTGTCTCTCCCCCTCCCGCCCAGAACTGTCCAGTCTACTCATTGGTTGCCTTGTAGAGACATGGGCACTTCGTTTTCGTATCCCTGGGGACACGAATACAAGGCATGCCACCACAGGTGCCACAGAGAGCTGTCTCGCCCCCCCCCCGCCCAGAACTGTCCAGTCTACTCATTGGTTGCCTTGTGGCATACATGCCTGTTGCCATTAACATCACACCAACCGCAGAAGATAGCCTGGCTGGCCCATCACTCTGCCTCCCCACGCAGCCAGCCCTTCTCTGCCTCCCCACGCAGCCGGCCATTGTCTGCCTCCCTGCACAGCTGGCACTTCTTTGCCTCCCTGCTCAGCCGACCGCTCAACAACTGGGCCGCTCTTCATCCTACCACCTCACCCAGGTGGCTGGCTATGCGGGGAGTTGGGGGAATGCCGGCTGGGCTCCCAGGGATATACAGATATGAAGTGCCCATGTCTAGAGGTGAAATGAAGCCTACTTTGTAGCGAGGCCCAAAGAAGAGGCTGTATTCTCTTCTTTTTTAACTCCGGCACCCAGAGCCCAGCGTGGGTATCTGGCAGTAATTTCTTTTCCGTTCTGTTTCCACGCAGGCCGGCTGCATGTACGTCCACGGAGGCGTGGTGGACATCCATATGAACAGGCGGACGGGCTCTCTCTTCAAGATGTGGCTGGTAGTGCCCAGCCTCTTGGAACTGTCTTGGGAGAAGCTGCTGGAATTTTTCCCTCATTTAGCAAACCTCAGCCAATCTCAGCTTTTGCACCTTGGACTCACACAGGGACTCATTGAACGCTTGAAATGAGGGCCTCCTGCTCTCCAAATGCTAATTTAAGGTGTGACTCCCTTAACCCCCCCCCGCCTCCTATCTCTCCCTCCTCTCTCTCTTCCCCCCTCTCTATTTATAAGTTCTGCAGAGGATGATGCTAAGAGAGAGGAAAAGCCCCACTCCAAAGCCTTATTCGGCAAAATACGTCAAGATGCCTTTCTCGTGAAATTTTTATTTTAAAAGTTTATGGAAGTCAGTTCTTCTTTTTAATTTATGGATATCTATAAATGCATCATGAATCAAAGATGCTGTCGCTGAACTCATTCGCACGGGGTTTTGCTGCATGCCGGTGGTCTCGGAAGGGAAGGAGGGGGGAACGCGGTGATCGGTCTTCCAACTTGGAGGCATCTTGTCCCCGTTCGGCTAAAGAAGGCTTCATGGGACCGAATTCCCTTCCTCCGTTCCAGTGGCCTGTTTCGGAGGGCCAGGCTGGCCCGTCCTGGATTCCCAGAAGGGTTCCTCCCATCACCCTCGCTATTGCTGCCTCCACATCCACAGCTTCAGCCACCAAACCAGCCCCCCCCAGCTGCCGACCTGTTCTCTCGCAGGAGGACATCTCCGGAAAAGAGGGCTGCCGGGTTTTGGTGCGTCCCGAAGGAGGTGTTGTCTTTTTCATATTGAAATATCCGACCAAAGGCTCGGTTTAAAATCGGACTCCGCAGAACGGTCTGTTCTGAAGTGTGGCGAGAGAGAATGGGGGTCCAACCCTTGTTCCTCCTCGCGTCCAGCACCAGAAAAGTCAGTGGAGAGAGAGAGAGAGAACTGGGAATGTTATAAAAGTCTTTCTTTTTTCTTTCGTGGGGGTAGTCTGTTGCTTGTGTGAATTTGGACACTCATTCTCGGCACCGTAGGTGTATCAGCTGTTGTTTTTTTCTTCTATCTCCTGATCATCCCCATTGGCCTCAGCCGCCTTGCTTTCACTCCGAAGGCCTTTCCCCCCCCCCAACACCTTGTTTCCGGGGGGTCGACTCTCCTCACCTCCATGCCGGCCACGTATCCCCAGGAAATGCCAAATCCACAGCGGTGCGTCCTTTTGCCTTCTTGCGCGTGGGTGAAATGCTCAATGTTTTGCCATGAAGATACAGACCGTGTCTTTTTTTGAAAAAAAAGAAAAGAAAAACCAGTGTTGGCAAAGGACGCCTTGCCCCTCTTTCGATGGCGGTGTTTGTAATGGTCGTGCCAGAGGGTTCTGGAGGTCAGGGTATACAAAACAGCTGGCAAGCCAAGCATTGTGTCCCTTTCAGGCTGGATAGTTTGGGGGGGGGGCGATTATCTCATTGTCTTTGTTTTTCAAATGAATGTGAAACCTGCTGCAGGTTTTTGTGTGTGCACGTACGTGCGTGTATGTGTTTAATTCCTATGGGAGTAAAACTGCTTTTGCTCGAGTGAGTGTATACGTGAGGGAATTAAAAAGAGTTGACACTGATTATGAAATGAAGGTTTAGCCCTGAATGATTACCCACCCGCATCTCCCCTTTATGGGGCTGTGGTCCAGGGTTTCCTGCTCTGCCTTCGTGGCAAGGCCCAGCTTGCCTAGGATTTGGGATGACACAGCCGGGCCCTTCCCTCCATCTTCCAGAAGTGTGCAGCTGGGATTTTGTAGGAACTGAGAAACTCCCTTCCTGCCTGCCCAAGTCTGCCGACATCCGGCCCAGAGCCACACGGGGAGGTTGGCATCGAATCAGCAAAGATGGCCACTCCCATCCTCAGCCTCCTGAAGGATCTGATCCTTTGCTGTCTTGCTAGAGGAATCCAGCGAGTTGACTAATCCTCCTGTTCGTGGATCTTCTTAACAGCTGGCAGAATGGGCTCAGGGGTGGGGGTCTCCTTTGATGCAAAAAGAGCAAAGATGGAATGGTTGCTAACGACCTGCAGTTTGGTGCTTTCTTAGTGTGCTGGTCATCAGAAAAGTCAATGCAACTCATTTCATAGTTCTCAAGCAGGTCCCACGTAAAGAAGAATCTCGGCAACAGGGTAAAGGCGAGGCATGTAGGGATCTGGATCGAGAATAGGTTGCTTGCTGACTTGTTTCGACCGTGCGCTTGTAGCCCAGTGCCTTCTCCCTTTAATCATGTTCCCACGGGGCCCTGCATGAATATCAAAATTAGACCAATGGTCCCCAATCTTGGGGGGGGGGTTGTCCCCAGAGGTTCTCAGAAGCCTTCACCACAAGCTGTGCTGGTCAGGAACCAGAGTTAGGACAACTGAGCTTATAGCACTCATGTGGTCGTTCCCCCCCCCCCGGCCCGGTTGCAAAGTGATGATACTGAAAAGATTTCGTCTGAAGCAAAGGAATGGTGAGCTGGCAGGGGCTTCATCGCTTCCCCTCTTCAGTGGCACTGCCTGACATCCTTCCACAACGCGAAATTTGTCCCGTGGGCCTGTCCTATGAAGGTGCAATGAGCGCTTGGGTCAGGGTGACCCTTTGCAAGCAGCATCTGACCGTCAGACCCTCTTTCATCAGCCACCTCCCATCAGAGACACGGCAATTCGCCCTTTTCATATCCATCCTTTATGCCGGCTTGTCCTTTTTGACTTGCATATGCACATGGCTTCAGAGTTCAGCCCAATGCCGGAAGAGAACATTGGACCACCTTCTGTCCGGACCCTATGTTCCACCCCCATAGTGCTTACAGCTCTCTCTGGGCAGTTTACAATGTAACTATGCAGGCTACACATTAACACCACCAACCACCCCCGCACCAAACCTGATACGTACTCAGAAGGATGGAAAGCTGAGTGAACCTTGAACTGCAGTTTAACCACTGTGCCATAAGTTATTTTTAAGGGTCATTTGAAAGAGAAAGGCAGAGTAAAAAATACTTTACATAAACAATAGAATCAGTAATAGGCTTTTTTCTTTCTTTTTTTTTTTCTTCTTTTTTTTTTTTGGAAGTTTGCTATTCTCTGTTCAGACCTAAGCCTGGTTCATTTTCTAGGCCATCCCATGGACAGACATAACGTTTCTTTTTTTCAAAGGCAATAGAAAAAATATTAATGTGAGAAGTTACTTTTTAACAGCTTTTAATGAATAGGAACCTTTTATTATTTTTTTAATCACTATCAAGGCATAAAATTGGTGTGAAAAGAGCACTGTGCTTGAGTTGGGGGGAAAACCCAGCAAGGGGAGTGTAACTTCTAAAGGCGGCCAGTTGAAAAGGAACTGTAATCCAGAAGATCTAAGGCTGGCTGACGGGGACAGCCTGGAGACGGTCCCTCTTTTGACCCTAAGCAGACTGTACTCATTCAGAGACAGCCCTCTGTTCGGTTTTGAGCGCATAAAAAAAGAGCAGCAGAGGAAAGCCACAGTGGGGCACCTCCCACTTCTGGCATCTTCTCTAGTGCCGGTGAACTTACAAGTGGACAGAATCCGTTTAATCGTGGCACTTATGGGAAAGGTCCCCTAATGGAGCTCCAGAAGGTAGGAGACAAAAATCAATTGATGGGGAAAAAGAAGTGTTTGACCAAGAATGTTGGGAGGGCCGTTCTACCCATTAAGGGCCTGATGAGGACACACTGGCCCACGTTCTTTCCAACCAGTTTATCCTTCAGAGAGACCCAGTAAAGACGAAAGCACCTCTGAAGATTGAAAAGCTTACAGAATCCCTGACTTGGTTGCCCCCTCGAGACCTGGCTGATACGCCGAGAAGACTCAAGACAACGCCGGGTTGGCGTCTGACAAACTTATCGACACAACAGCAGATCTGAAGGACAGACAGTGGTGAACACACTCAAAATATAAATCATTTATTACGCTCCATCTAAAGGCAAGTGACTACCTTCCTTGGAGGTGTTCCTGGCAGCGGCCGCCGCAGCCACAAACGGAAATTAATAGAACACTCTCTTCTCCAACTTGTAGTCTTTAAAAAGCCCAGCGGGTCGCTGGTCCTCCAGAATCTTCCCGAAACCATCCCTCCTTTTCTCCTGCTAAGCTTCTTTCACAGCCAACGCCAGGGGACCCCGAAACCTTCCGTAATGCCTTCTCCAGCCTTTGTCGTTTAAAACTCTTGAATTCTTTGTGAGAAAAGCAAACGTTTTTTGGTTGGGAAAGATGTCCAAAGAAACTTTTGAGTTGGATCCAGTTGGTGGTCTTCCCAGATTTCTTGCCCGCCTGCCCCTCACAAAACCAAGATTTTGGTCAAATCCCAGGGAGATCTTTCCTGGAAGGAAGGAAGGAAGGAGGGAAACCCTTGGGGGGAAAGACGCCTGCTTTCCCAAGAGGCAGGAAGGTGGAGCCCAGCAGAGGGGGAAAATAAATCAGCAGCCAGCAGGAGACGGAGCGAAGTAGTAGACGGCGAGGAGAATGAAATACACCATCACGAGAACGGTCCCTGGGGTGGGAGAGAACACAGAGTGCATTAGCACTGGAACGGCCACAAGATAAAAGCTTATCATTTTGGAAACCCCACCCCGTAAGAATTTGGTGCACTGCGCAAAAAAAGATGAATTATCATCCAAAGCTCGCTTTAAAAAAAAATCTTTACTGGTCCAATACATTTATCATCTGTTCCTGCATTTCTGTTGTTTTGCGGACCACACAGCCTTTTCCTGATTTTTTTTTTCCTGGAAAGACTTAATGAGGCTTCGATCCTCTCCCCGAGAACTTGCAAATGTTCTGTTTTTAGTCAAAACACCCAGAAAGCTGCCCCTCCCCAGCTAGCGTGGAGATGGTGCCCCCCCCCAAAAGTAACTTTTTAAAGCTCTCCGTGTTAATCTCATTTTCTTCATTTACTTATTAAAAACCTTTGCTGATCATCCTTCTGCCCAGCAGAGGTCAAAAGGCCTAGCTATAATACGTTAAAATGACTGAAGCCAGATTTTTTTAAAAAAGCAGAATGCAGACACAACCAACACAGTTTTAGCCGCCTCCTGGGAGCTCCACAGAAAGGCAGCCATCCCAAATTCTCTTGGGAGGGAATCCGTCAGTCAAGCACCTGATCTTTCACACAGAAATACTCAGATAGGTCCAGAGCCCTCCAAGTTAAGAAAGACTGTATTCTCAAAGGCTTTCACTGCCAGGATCAGATGGTTGTTGTAGGCTTTTCAGGTTGTTTGGCCGTGTTCTGGAGGTTGTTCTTCCTAATGTTTCACCCGTCTCTGTGGCCGGCATCTTCAGAGGACAGGAGTTAGAACTCTATCTGTGCTCCAGTGTAGTGTGTGGGATAGTTGAGTATTTTTAGCTAACGTTAAAGTCTCGCTAACGACACCCATCAATCACAGTGACAGATCATCTCTCCTCCTTATCACAACAATACACCCACAACAAAAAAACTTGCTGATCGCCATTATCACCCGACCTCCTGAAAAGGACAACTTGCTGATCACCATTATCACCCGACCTCCTGAAAAGGACAAAAGCTGATCCCACAGCTACAAATACTCAACTATCCCACACACTACACCAGAACACAGAGTTCTAACCCCTGTCCTCTGAAGAGGCCGGCCACAGAGACGGGCAAAATGTTAGGAAGAGAAACCTTCAGAACACGGCCAAAGAGCCCGGAAAACCTACAACCATTAAGAAAGACTCCTCTTCAAGTTCTTCTTTAGAAGACTCTGCTAAGAAACACATTTTGGTTCGTCACTACAGGTTCTCAGAATGTTTATTTTCACACCAGTAAGAAACTCAGGAGACTTGCCCGTGTGTGACCACAGGGCCTCTAAACTGGTTAAAAACAGACACTCCTCCCAGTTAACTTGTGTAAGAGGTACTGACCTTTTTTTGTCTGTCTATAGAATCACAGTACTTTGGAACTGGAAGGGATCCTAAGAAAAGATTTAGTGCAGTGGTTCCCAACCTGGGGCCACCCAAGTGTCTTCTTGGACTGCAACTCCCAGAAGCCTTTTTCACCACGAGCTGTGCTAGCCAGGGATTTCTGGGAGCTGAAGTTCAAGAACATCTGGGTGACCCAAGACTGGGAACCACTGCTCTAGTTCAACTCCTGCCAGTGCAGAAAAATCCACAACTTCAGCATCTTTGACCTCCAGGGATGGAAGATCTACCACCACCTTTGAAGGCTGTCCGTTCCCAGGGTTGAACCGCCCTTTATCATCAGGAAATTCATCCGAAGGTGCAGCCGCCCCCCTCAACAGGCATCCGAACCCGGCTGAAAAAACCCCGAAGCCGTTACCTTGGAAGTAGTCACACTTGCCGTCCATAAAAATATAGTTCATGAGGACCACGCTGAAGATGCTGACGTAGATATGAAGGTCACTGAAGACCAGGATGAATCCAGTCGGCTGGCAAGAGAGAAAGAACACGGGAGTGACTGGCCAATGACCAAAAGCAGAGGGTTAGCCTTGTCCAAGAAACTGGTCCATCCCGTTTCTCCAACCCATGTTTACAAAAACATCCACCTAGTTTAGGGTACTTGGTCTGTGCAAGTGTTAACATATCCCCCCAGTTTGTGGCAAATATGCAGGACCCCCAGATCCACAGGGGATTGGTTCCAAACCTGCTCCCCTGCAGACGCTGAAAACCAGAGATAACAGCGAACACTACTTAGCATGGTAAAAGGGGAAAAAAGGGGCATTTTCATAACGTATTGCCAGACATGGGCAGTAGAGGGAGCCAGAGAACCATGCTAGGCATTTTTCAAAAACAAGAATCTTAGCATATTCTCTGGCTCCATCTAGTGGTCAGTTCTGGTAAATAAATTGTGAAAATACACGTTTCTACTTTTTTTCTTTTACTATTTTTAGTATTTTCAGACCATGGATAAGTGCAACCATGGATACGGATTGGGCTCTACTTGGGTCAAAAATGGAGACAACCAACAGTTCTCTATGTCCCAAGTCGTCACATGGCTCTCTACCCTCCTGAATCTCCATCACACATAGTAGGATCACAGTGAGCCTAAATTGGGGGTGGAGAGAAGCCCTTTCCAAAGTCATATGGGGCAGAGGGCAGCGTGTGGCTTTTGGTCCAGACGTTTCTGATGGCCGTGGGGCTATTATCCCCACTGACATCCTACTGCTGTCAGTGAGGGGCTGTCAGCGACACCCGCTCCAAAGTGATTTTGGAAGCGGAGTGGGTGAGCTTAGGAGAACCGAAGGGCTTCGGATCCAGGAAATCCAAGACCACTTCTAGCCAATCCCCCGTTGAGCCTGCCATCAGCAGTTGCTGTTCATTCATTAAGTCATGTTTGACTCTTCGTGACCCCATGGACCAGAGCACGCCAGGCCCTCCTGTCTGCCACTGCCTCCCGGAGTTGGGTCAAATTCATGTTGGTCGCTTCGATGACACTGTCCAGCCATCTCGTCCTCTGCCGTCCCCTTCTCCTCTTGCCTTCACCCTTTCCCAATATCAGGGTCTTTTCCAAGGAGTCTTCTCATGAGATGGCCAAAGTAGACATGGTCTAGAGGGGCGGGGTAAAAATCAAATAAATAAATAAATAAATAAAAGTATTGGAGCCTCAGCTTCAGGATCTGTCCTTCCAGGAAGCACTCGGGGTTGATTTCCTTTAGAATGGATCAGTTTGTTCTCCTTGCAGTCCAGGGGACTCTCAAGAGTCTCCTCCAGCACCACAATTCAAAAACATCAATTCTTTGGCGGTCAGCCTTCTTTATGGTCCATCTCTCACTTCCATACATCACTACTGGAAAAAACATAGCTTTGACTATGTGGACATTTGTTGGCAAGGTGATGTGTCTGCTTTTTAGGATGCTAGGTTTGTAATCACTTTCCTCCCAAGAAGCAGGCATCTTTTAATTTCGTGGCTGCTGTCACCATCTGCAGTGATCACGGAGACCAAGAAAGTGATCAGCAGTACATGAATAAAAATTTCTGGAGGAAGGAATAGTAATTCCTCTTATCCCACTCCGGTCCCCAGACCAGGAACCAAATGTGGTTTTTCGATAAATTAAAATTAAAGAAACAGTCCTCCCAGTTTAGGTAACCCTCTACCCGGTTTCTCTAAACACGGATGGCAAAGCTCTCCTTTCCCTCTTTTGAAGTCTTCATTTCCTTTTGGGGCAAACCTCTGGAGCCGTGGAAAAGCAGAGGGAAAAACTCAGTAACGTTTGTTTCTCCAGGATGGTGTTTGTATACACAAGAAATGGTTCATAATGGCTCTCTTAAGACCCTGAAACAGTGTCTCAGATGAAAACAGGCTGGTTCCTTCTTGAGGCAAACAAAATCTGTTACCAAAACATGCCCTTTTCCCAGAATAAGATAAATAACAAAGAGAAGATGTTTTGCCTTCGTTTTGAGGGGATATAATTATTATGGAGTACAGTAGGGACCTCCATCCACGGGATCAGTATCAGCGGATTCACTTATCTGCCGGTTGAAAATATTAAATAAACAACCCAGAAATATGCATTGATATGTATTTCCAAAACACAAAGACCAGACTTGGCCACTAGAGAGATCCACAGACCTTACAACATATAGGGTTTGTTATTATCCACAGTTTTTGGCATCTACAGGGTGGCGCTTGGAACCAATCCTCCAGATACTGCAGTCCTACGGCACCTTGATTTGGCCCTTGGTCAACACTGAAGTGGCCTAGTAATGCCGATCAGAGTTGAGAAGACAGGGCTTGGTAGCCCCATCTGTATGCTCAGGATTACAACCCCCATCATCCCCTGGCCTCAGGCTTCAAAGCCCAGCTCGTCCTCCACACAGAGGCGGCTTCGCCTTGCCCTTACTTACGTAGAAGACTGTGAAAAGCACCACAATAGGTATTTGCAACATGCAGACCTGGACAGCGATGCTGTTCCCGATCTCGATGCTGGAACACAGAACAAACATAAGGAGGAGGTGAAGCAGGCGAGTCCAGAGGCCCGGGCTTTCCCCAGAGGCTTCAGGAAGTCAGAGCGGCCGGCTTCCCAGCTTACAGAAACAACTGCGGCGCAACACGGTGGAGAAATACAGTGGTGCCCCGCTTGACGATTATCCCGCTCCACAACAAGTCCGCTTCACGATGAGGTTTTTGCGATGGCTATTGTGATCGCAAAACGATGTTTAAATGGAGAAAATTTGCTTTATGACGATCGGTTCCCTGCTTCGGGAACCAATTATTTAATAAACGAAGATTTTAAAACAGCTGATCGGCGGCTCTCAAAATGGCTCCCCGCTGTGTTTAGGACGGATTCCTCCCTTAACAGACACAGGAAAATGGCTGCCCTATGGAGGATCTTCGCTGCGCGATGAGGTATTTCACCCATTGGAACGCATTGAACCAGTTTTCAATGCATTTCAATTGGATTTTTACTTTTGTTTGACGATTTCATTCTACAGCAATTTTGCTGGAACGGATTATCGTCAATCGAGGCACCAATGTAAATGGGAATTAATTGACAGGCACAGGTTGAGGCCTCCCCAGTAGTTCTGCTGCCTGAGGCCGAACAGCAAATCACATTCTCTCCTGTGACTCAAAAGGGCCCAGGTTTCGAAGCCAGCCAAAATGTTTCGGAGCCTGAACCCGAAAACGGCCCATGGCCCGAGGCAGTCACTTCCCCATGCCTAAGAGCACCCCTCTTTCTTTTCTTTTCTTCTGAGGTGTGCTGAGTGTTGGGCTAGCAGCAAAATGCCAGAGTAGAAGTCTTGTGTCATCCAAAGTGGTTTGGAGCTGCCTGCCGTGTAACCGTTCCCACAGTCAAAAATGGTTTAACAATTTTAAAAGATATATTTTTAGCCACTAGAGGTGCAAGAGAGCACCTCATTTTTTTCCTTGAAAAAGCTATACTCATTTTTTTTTTTTGCCCCCAGTTTTAAAATCTCATCGTAACCACCTCCTGGGCCGCACACCCTTCTTCCCTTTTAGCCTTGCGCACCTACATCGGGCTTCAGAAGGTTAAGAACAGCCCTGCGAGGCCAGCTCCAAAGCCTGTGTTGTTCACGATTCTGTTCCCCTACAACGCCAGCCAGTCTGCCACAGAAGCTTAACCGCGTTTTCTGGCTCATGGGAGACCCTTTCAAACATCCTCCTGTTAAGCTTTAGTCCAGACACCTCAGCATCCTCTGGTATTTGCACACCGGCATTAAGATCAGAATGCTGTGTCACATGAAGAAAAAAAAAACCCCAGGACCATCTTCCCGAATATGAAGTAGGGTTTTGTTTTATTTTTCAGACTACAACTCCCAGAACGCTGTGTCACATGAAATTAAAAAAAAAACCCAGGACCATCATCCAGAATATGAAGTAGGGTTTTGTTTTGTTTTTCAGACTACAACTCCCAGAATTCTCTAGTTCCGTGGAGGATGCTGGGATTTGTAGTCCACCCAACAAGGCCTCCCAAATTCTGCCAACAGCTTTAGGTCGAAGGCTCTCAAAACCAGGCTCTGATGACGGACCCACCTCAAGCTGAGGTTGTTCTGCAGGGCAAACTGGATGCCGTTGACAATCTCTGGAAGCTCAGGAACCATGGCGAGCACAGTCACCCCGATGAAATACTGGAGAAAAAAAGATGGGTTTGTTGACAACTGACAGTTTGTTGACACATACCCTGCCTGGCACCTCCCTGGAGGAAGACTCTTAAGAGTCATGGAATCACAGAAGGCCTCTTCCAGTCACTTCATAATTCTGTGATTCCATGATTATGGGATCTGGAGACCAAAATCGTATTAGCCTTTCTTACAGCTGCATCACACTGTTGGCTCATATTCAGCTTGGGATCGACAACAGTGCCAAGATTCGTCTCATTCATAGCATTACTGAGCTAATTTCCTTCTCTTACAATATTTATTCTCAAAATACAAGTAGGGTCAATCAAAATAGAGGAACTGAAACTTAAACTAGAAGGCATACAGACCTACCAGACAAGTTCAGTACAAGTTACAGACCTTATTTAAAAAAAAAATTAGTACAGAACACAGATTTTTGGAGGCTAGTAACAGAGTTCCATAATTTTATCCTTTCATAGTGTAAATGGCAGTATGTCAACAGAAAGGAAAATCACAGATCCTATATATAAAATATTGGACTGATCAGTTATGGAATATATAAATATATATAATCTGAAAACAAATTGAGAACACACGATTTATGAACCTTTTTAATACAAAGTAAAGCTCGATTCAGCTGAAATCTGTAGACAGATGACTACAGTTGATGTACTACTTTGCTTTGTGAAATGTTCACTGGAATCGACAAACATTGGTAAGAAAAGAGATGTACTGTAAAATGTAGATTTTTAAAAATTAAAACCAGCAAAACTTATTTTTCAAAAAATAGACTTAATTCCTTCAACACTCCACACTCGAGCAATCAGGCTTGCAAACGAAAGCCCATGTTTACCTTACAAAATTAAAAAAAAAACACCCCTAATTAGCAATCTGAGAACAGAGCCAATCTCTTGCTAGAACAGCTATCCTTTAAGGAAGCTTTGCATCTAATGATGCAGTAACTATTTTCTGGTTTGGCCTTGCAAATGCCGGCCGGTTCTGTCGCAGTGTGCTGAGCTAATATGCGTATGTGTTGTGCTCAAGGCTAATGGCGTGCAACTTTCAGGCATTTCATCCTGCAAAGTTAACTAAAAAGTAATGCAGTTACTTCTGGGATAATATAACTGCCTCCAATTCCACAGACAGATCATGATCGGAGCTCATGGCCCCACAAGGGGAAGGCCCTGTTCCTCAGCCCATGAGGCATCCCTAACAGTAAATAGTTACTTTTTGGAACCCTGGAACTGTAACTCATGAATTCTTTAAAAGTAATCTCTCTGCCCACTTTTTACCTGCGACACTGGCGAGTTGTTCAGGATGGGGCTGATGTGCTCCGTGGCCAAGTCGGCACAGGCAGACATGCCGAGCGTGGCCACGAGGAGGATGATCATGGCTCTCCAGCGTGACCAGTGGACCACTGCACTGTGATGATGGCCGGGACCTAGGAAGGACACAAGAGACATGAAGCTCGGGGAACGGACGGCCACCTGTGAGGCAGGGAGAAAGAAGGACCCAAGTATCAGGAAGACAAATGAAATTGTCTTCTGTGTTGGAGAACTCGTTGCCCTTCCTGGCGGC